CACCGTAGCAACTCCTTTGTGTTTGGAAGCGGGGGGTGGGGGTGGGGGGAGGACCGGGGAGGATGATTCAACCACTCAACCACTAGATGTCGCTGAAAACAACAAATCCTACACACTGTCCCTTTAAAAGATACATTTTTATCCATGACAGCTGAACATTTTTGACCAGCTTTAACTGTGTGTTTAATAAAAACATTAAAGTGCCTGTAACATCAAACTTTTAAAATAAATATGAATGCATTTTTGAAATGACAACATAGATAACATATTGCAAAAAATAATAATGCTACTGAGATGAACAATTGTTGAGATATTTGCAGGTGCAGAAACAGGAAGTGACGTCAAAGGGGAATGAGAGCATGTGAACAGAGCGTCGCTACAACAGCACCAACCGTAAAGAATCTGGTTTATTATTATACTGAGTCACTGTCAGCGAGAGAGGAAGAGTCAGAGTTCAAATATGTTTCAATAAACAAAGACCAGAGTTTTCTTTTCTTAAAGAATTCCCCTTTGATGTCACTTCCTGTTTCACTTTAGCTGAACCAAGTTCGAAAGAAAATAGTTATGTGACAAAATAGTTAATGTAATGTGTAATATGACAAGTTTCTTTAATATAAAGAAGTTTTCTTTGACTTATTGTATTTAAAGTGCCTGTGACATCAAAAAAATGTAATAATATAAATGCATTTTTGGAAAGATAACACTGAGAACATTTTACAAAATATTTTTCATGCTGCTGAGATGAACAGTTGTTGAGATATAAGAAGTGATTCAACGCAGCCTGCAGGGTTCTTCTTTATTCTTTTTATGTACCGCGCCCTGAGACAACGTTATGTTGTGACTTGGCGCTATATAAATAAGCTTGAACTTGAACTGGAGATATTTGCATGTGAAGTAACAGGAAGTGATGTCAAAGGGGAACGTCTGCATGACAACAGAGCTAAGCTAAAATGCTCAACAGCCCAGACTGTGGAGAGGAATCTGATGTTTTAGATGATTTTGAGTTGTTATCAGACAGAAACATAAAGAAGAGTCAGAGTTCAACTCATAATGTTTCAACAAAGACCAGCGAGTTATATTTCTTAAAGGAGTTCCCCTTTGATGTCACTTCCTGTTTCCCTTTTGCCAAGTTTAAAAGAAAATAGGTCAGTAATGTGTCCAAATGGGTAAAATAATGTGTGGTGTGCCAGGTTTCTTAAATAGAACGATGCTTTCTGATTTATTCGTGTTTTTTGTTGTACATTTGTAAATAAAACTGAAGAGCAGATTTTCTCATTAAAACAGGTGATTGTTTTGGAGTCCAGCGGTCGTTTTGGAGGTTGGCTGTGGTCCTCACGGAGGTCCGATGGGGCAGTATTTGAACATGGACCAAGAGGGATTCGACCTGCCGGGCCAGTGGGACACAACACCCTCAATATGGTCAGTTCTGCCTAAATAAATCAGATGGGATCAACTCAGCTCATTTACAAACCAGTGTCACGACGTCACCCTTTATAAATATGAAGTTTGAAGTAAAAATAAAATGGTACAAGGATGAATAAGTGATTCGATCTTCAAATTGAAGCAAATCCTAAAGATTTGAGGCATGACTGATAAAGGTAAGAAGATCTGAGTCGGTGAGTTGAACAGTTCTTGTTAAAAAGATCCAAACGTGTGTCTGCAGGTGGAGGATCTGGGTCTAGAGGGGGAGATTTTGCCCGTTTCCTACAGCCATGAGTCCTCCAAGAACAGATACCTGTATGTCAGAGGACAGCTTCACAGGATGCCTTCAGGATTCAGGTGAATGAGTGAATGTTTTTTCCTTACATCACACACATTGAAGAAAGAAAGAAATAGAGATTTATTTTAAAAGTCCTTGCATTAAAGATGGCGACTGACTCTCAGCTACTACCACACCAGCTCTCAGCACCACATCTGTAAAGTCCAGAACATGTTAACACCTGGATGATGAAAACAGCTTGAAGTACAAACAGGAGAACTAAACTAAAACCAGTTTGTAGAGTCTGCTCCCTGAGATCTGTCCTATTTGAGCACGTTTATAGAACCAGGACAGGAATAATTAATAAACTGACAAAGTTTTCAAAAAACATCATTTCTAAAACTATTATTCTTGACTGATAGAAACAAGTTTATGTGTATCAAAAATGATTTTTATTAAAAAATGAATCATCCCACTTTGTTTAAAACAGAAATTATTCCTGACGTCGACATGAATTACCTGTCTTTACGTTTTTGTTATTAGTGGGATTTTTCGAACAGTCCCGCCTTTTTCCCGCCCCCTCCTGTTCAGCTTGGCTCCTGAGATTCTGGTCAAGAAGGGAAAAGAGGACGACGAGTCGATCCATTCGTTTGTTTCCAGGAGGCTCGGAAAGGAGGTAACCGGATTTCTCCAAGTTGTTTCTTACTGCCGATCAGGGCCTGGATTTATTGAACCCCACAGAGTGGAACTTTAGACTTGAGTGCTGAAAATGTACAAATAATGGGTTTAGTCATGAAATATAAATGTAATAAGGGGGAAAAAACTGGTTTACATACCAGTGTGCATAATGTAGTGGTCACCCTGGGTGGAATAAACGTTCCACCTGCCTTTGACCTTGACCACGGAAGGCCTCCTTTAAAGAACAGAAATCTGTTCATTTTTTTATGGTCATAACATGTTTTCTTAAACAATTAAGGGACATTTTATTTCATTTTATTCTCTATAATCAAGATAATAAACAAAATAGTAATGTTCTTTATATGTTTTGACTAAACATGTTATGACCATAAAAAAATGAACAGATTTCTGTTCTTTAAAGGAGGCCTTCCGTGGTCAAGGTCAAAGGCAGGTGGAACGTTTATTCCACCCAGGGTGACCACTACATTCCCTTAAGATATCTTGAATAATAATTCTGACTAGCCAAAACGTCACAGATTTTAGTAGTATTTTGGCGGAAAAAGTACTACATAGACATCATAGCTAAACATAAAGACCGTAACATTTCACTGCAGCCGCCATCTTTGATAGGTCCTCATCTTAAATC